CACACAAGTGATAAACACCCGATGATACAAAGTGCCACCATGTGGGTGAGGATCACCCGTGGACAAGTCCCGAAAACCGCGTTCAGCCATTAGACCATATTTATGGCTGGGCTTTATTGTGGCCTCTAGCAAGAGCTAGGGTAGGGCTTCAAAAAAAAAAAAAAAAAACGAAAAAATTGTATCACACAAGGAGATGATTGGTTATGAACATTAGTAAGGTCCATGTTTCTACTAGGCCTACACATACGGCAGCGGTGGAGACCAAGATGTGGTAGAGGACGGGAGAATAAGATTTCTTTTCACTAACCCGGGCGAAGCCAAATCATCCATTGGCTTGATGTGCAGTATTGCCCTCAAACTGAGCTGTTTCCAATTATCACTACAGTGAAATTTTATTTTTTTAACTGGCTGCTTCTAATGTTACTAGGCAATTAGGTATGCTATTGCTTACTAAATGGTCGGATGTCGATACCACTGTCGAAAACAATGCAAGGCGGTCTGCTGCAAATTGCCTGTTGTTGGGATCGAACCTGGCGCATCGGCATTATGAAGTGTTTCGCTCCGCCTAAGCCAAAGATGTCGAGAGAATTACTTCTACAAAACTGAAATAAATAATTCGGCCATATTAAACGCCATACTGGTTTGGACAGAAAAGTATTTGGGTAATGGTGGGGGGTTGGGGGGTGGGGTGAGGGGTATAGTTACTGGAAGAAAATAGGGTATAGTTGCTGGGTGGAAAACAAGCAGGAAATGATGGACGTAACTATAAAGGACACCCTGGGTGTAAAAGTTCAGGAGGCGGGACAATTGGCAATTCACCGAGCTTCGGAGTGGAGGGACGTGACGAGAGCCAATATCTGGCAAGGACAGGTCCTAATAATGATGATGTGTATAGTCACCATCCAATGATATTGAAAACGAATGCGAAGCCGACTGCCTTTAACTCTAATGACATTTCCCTCGAATCGCTTTTATGCTGGGTGCGACGAAATGGTGTAGCGGCTAGGCGCTCGCCTGTGGATCTTAAGGTTGTGGGTTCGGGTTTCGCTCTTGAAGGTTCGTAATTTGTCGTAAATTCCAACGCTAACAATATATATTTTTTTTTCTCTTTTCCAGTTGGAAGACAATACACTTGAAGAGCCGAACCGAAGTAAATGAATGTTGTATTTCCTGTCCTGTCTTAAAATCGCTGAGTAAGCTGATTGATTTCTTGAAAATGGACAGCTCACATCGCCTGTGGAGGCTGGTGTACCTGTTCCTATTTACTTTGTGGAGGCCCAGGATTCTAGTTCAAGCAGGGATAAACAGCACTCATCTGCACATGGGACGTGACATTACACGGATAGTTACCAATGAGTTTCAAGATATTTACATTGGAGGCGTCAACTTCATCGCCCAGCTAACCCCCAAGTTATTTATTAAACTGAATATCACAATAGGACCTGTCACAACATCGGAGCACTGCGCGCCAAACCCGGCTCCCTGTGACAATATCGTGAGAGTTCTGGAAATCGACGCAGTGCAGAAAATGCTGCTTGTATGTGGGTCAGCTTATCAAGGTACATGTACTATTCACAGCTTGCAAGACATCGATGTGTGGTTTTGCTTGAATAGCGAGACAAACAGTGCCGGGGCCGAAGTCGTGTCGGGAAGTCATGAGAGAAATTCGGTTCTTCACTTCCTACCCTCCACAGTTAGGAACTCGCAGATGGCACCTGTAGTTGCTGCCCGCGAATGTCGCTCAAAAGGCTTTGGGCAGAAATATGTCGCTGGAAATGATTCCCAACCAAAATACGTCAGAATGCAACACTATGCGCCACGAATAAGATTTAGACGTTTGTTGTACTCAGCAGAAGTATTAAGTAAACGGGACATTCGTGAAAATGTACAGAGCCTAGGAGGTATCTTTAAAAACAACTTTACAGGTTTACACAACAGTGGATATCATGTTCAATCAAATGTGATGATTGCAGGAAGTGTATACAATCCTAAATTGTCTACAAATCCACTCCACCTCTCCATTCGACGCATCACCTTTAACGGTTCCCAGTATACCATTGGTTACTCCCGTGATCACGACACAACACCTGTAGGCTTTCAGATGAAAAATGCCAAAGACACCTCCATCACTCCAGATTACAAATTGTCTTTTACGTGGGGCAATTACTCCTACTTCGTGTTTCTGCAGCAGTCCACAGATTGTGAGAAAACGAGTCGCTGCATTCAGACTAAGATCAGCCGTACCTGTAATGATCCTTTATCAATACTGCCTTATGTGGAAATTACTCTGATGTGTACGGACAAGGTAAAGTATATTACATATGTTTATGAGAATTCAAATTTTAGTGAGTATAATGAAGAGTCGTTTCCATTGTTGGGAAATATAGGGCCATTGAGGTATTGGAAAGAACAGGTATTACAACAGACTGCTATATGCACAGTCTATGAAGGCTTAGGTGGCTGGGTCAGACCTGGGGAATGGAGGATTAAGAGTACCTAAAGACATTCTTTATGGTAAACTAAAGACGGGTAGAAGATGTCGAGGCCGACACAAAATACTTTCACTAGCGGAACATGAAGGATACAGGTACTGATGTGGACTCGTGGAAACAAAATGTCATGGACCGTGTTGTGTGGAGGAGGCACATCAGGAAAGGAATGAGAATGAAGGAAGACATGATTCCAGAAAGTATGAGAGCTGAGCGTCTGAAAAAACATTATGAATGCAAATGACAAAAACGGTACTGATATCTCATGCTTTAACCGTGGAAGACGTTTCTTAACGCGGATGGGTCTTGCTAGTCACACTCGCCATCGCGCAATATAACACTTTCGTCTGCAAAGACGAAAAGGTGCCAATCATCTGGCGGTAGCCAAATCTGGCAGGTATCCGATATTTAGCTTCAGATAATAAATCGTGATCTTAACCAAAAGACCAAAAGAGAAACAGTGTCTCTGTTACTTCAGTAATGATTGTACGCCTATAGATGACTTCTGAGGAGTATAGGCCCTCTCACAAGAGTACCAGAAATACGTATCCGATTTGCATTCTGGTCTCACTTACTGCTGTGTAGAGAACTCCGAGGCTTTTATTTCTTTACGCTGTGCGTTCGGACTATTCTAGTGATAAAAATGATAGAGGGCTTTTGCGCCTGTAGAGGTGTTCGTCTGCAAATAATGTCAACTAACCTTTCGGTTAACTAACGCCAAAACAGAAAGGGAAATTCAGGTAGACAAAACAGACTAGAAAGAAGTTTCAAAACCGTGCCGCCAAAAACATAAACATAAGATAAGGAAGGTAGGCATCAGTAAATAATGTTGAAAAACAAGTAAAGTCAACGAAAAACATGCAGTGACAAACAGCAACATGGAGAACTATACAACAATTTAGAGAACGTCATACTCAGTAACATAAGAGATGAAGGGCCACTAAAAGAATCAACTGATAACCGAAACGGCAAAAGTGACCAGACTTATAAAGACAAGAGAACTTCTCAGGGATAGCAATGAAGACTAGTCAATCTCGTAAAAAAAACACACCAAGATCCTGGTCTGTGTTGCTAAGTTCGTTCACTGGGTTGATATTCTCCTTGTGTGGTTCAAGGGAATGGATTTACCTCCTGGACAATTAGTTATGAGCCTAACATTTTCTTCACGACTTAGGGGTATGGTTGTTCAAGGGAATGCATAAAATGCTTTGGGTAGCTAGTTGTTTCGATAGAGGGCGCGAAGATGATTTATCACAACCGTTTAAAAAGATAATCATAACTATTTAGAACGAAGATTGGAGAACTAACGCAGACATTATATGTCGTTAATTCGCCACACCCTGATGAATGTCGTGAGGACAGAATCCGATTACATAAAGACTGAATAATTCTCCAGATGTAAGTGGCTCGTAGCTACCGCAGGCTTTATCGCTTTTTGCACATAATATTGTCAGCATGTATGTTAAAATTACCTGTCCTCTCTTGATCTTTGTCTCCACTGCAGCCCTATATTTGGTCATTGCTCCTAAGTGCACCCACGAGGATTGCACGGCCACATCACCAACTTACAGCTGTCCAATTTTAGGTCCTGTGCAACGTTGGCTGGCATCTCTGATGTCCACGGTCGAGTTTTAATATTCCTCCTTACATAGGTGGGTAGGGTTAATGAGCTCCGCCTGCCCACAATGTGTTTTTATCAAGCTTTGTTTTTCTAGCCAGTGTCTGTACAGGAACTTCCACGAGGCAGTAGAGAGGATTACCTGTTCCTCTAGGGTGTGTAGGCACAAGAACGTCCAGAAGGCAGTAAAAATGATTATCTGTTTCTCTAACCTGTTTAGGCACAGGAACGTCCAGAAGGCAGTAGAGAGGATTACCTGTTTCTCTAGCCAGTGTATGCACAGGAACGTCCAGAAGGCAGTAGAGAGGATTATTTGTTTCTCTAGCCAGTGTATGAACAGGAACGTCCAGAAGGCAGTAGAGACGATTATTTGTTTCTCTAACCTGTTTAGGCACAGGAACGTCTACGAGGCAGTAAAGAGGATTATTTGTTTCTTTAGCCAGTGTAAGTCGATGCGAACGCTTCGTAATGCCGGCATGCTAGGTTCGATCCCAGCTGCAGGCCATGCGCCTTGCGTTGGTTTCGACAGTGGTATCAAGAAAGCAGACCGTCCAGAAAGCAATGGCAAACTACTGGGCGTAAATTCGCCTTAAAAAACACAACAGCCAGGTGCTGTTGGGGTTGGTTCTGCAGCGTCCTGTAAAGGATACGCAGCTAACCTAGCCAGTATAGCACAGGAGCTTCCATGAGGCAGTAGAGAGGATTATTTGTTTCTCTAGCCTGTGTAGGCACAGTAGCGTCCATGAGGCAGTAAAAAAGATTATCTGTCTACTAACCTTCATTTATTCTTCACTTCCTCTTTTAGCACTTCGGGTGTCGAGGGAGAAGTAGCGGCTCTTCTATCGCCTCGGCTATAGACACTTCCTGCTGTTATTGAGTTTCTGTGATGTTATCAGTTGGCAGAATATTGACATTTACAAATGATGTTCTTGTATATAAGATAGGGAGAGATCGTAATCAAATTGCTCAAAGTAACAGGTCGAAAGTAGATAAGGTGATCGACTGGTGTACAGATATGAGTTCTGTAATTAACATAGAAAAGGCAACCGTCCTGTGGTGTTCTTTGGACTACAGGATCGTTAGAGCTGATGTTCCAAGCCTCAAAATAAATGACAAGTACATGAAAAGAGACAGCTGAATGTGCTACCTGGGAATCGCCTTTGACAAAAGTTTATCTTTCAAGGATCATATAGAGGAAATATAGAGGAAGTTGTGACAAGGGCTCAGAATTATTCTCAGTGTACTAAACATTATGGCAGCGATGGCCATGGAACAGAGAATGCTGTTCACACTTTACCAGCACTTAATCATTTCAGTGACTGATTATGGATTGGGGTTACTCACTGTCTCGAAGGGTCAGCTAGAGAAACTGGAGCGCATACAGAATAAAGCTATTCGGGTGATCCTGTGATGTACAAGAGACACCCCGGGTGTGTTCATGCAATACATCTTTGCATTACCGACTATTGCAGATAGGCTAAAGGTGCTGCAGGCTAAGTCATACCTCAAGTAACTGCAGACAAAGAGCACCCTCTGCATGAAGCTTTGGCTGCAGGTAAAGGTCAGAGACTGAAAAGGGGAAAGTCGTGGATAGCTCAAGCAGAAGACACAGTAAGACATGTATGCATGCTAGAGAACATTAAGCGAGTAGAAGAGTGAGTCAGCGTACCAGAGGAAAAGTCTAATCTTTGTAAGGTTAGGATCACATCAGGACAGAAGTGCAGAGAATGACCAGCGGGTGCTACAGAAGTCGAAGTACAACAGTTGATTCACGACGATTCACACCCAGGTGATGTGATTATCTATACAGATGGTTCGATGTTGAGAAGTCCCTGGGAGTTCGTAGCGAAAGCCAATTAAATTCTTTAGGTCAAGACAGCCTAGCATTCGACACCACGACATCTAGCATGAGAATGGAGGTGGGGGCGATAACTGCAGCTCTCCGGTGGCTAGAGAACAAGATGCATACATAAAGGTGAAGACAGGGACGCTTCGAGCAGAGTGGCAAGCTTAATTGGGAAGGTCACGGGATGTGAGCATTCTTTTGATCTTTTATCCAGGTTATGCTAGCGTGATGGAAAATGAACTGGCAGACAGATTGGTTGGATCTGCTTTACTGGGTGGTGAATTGATGCAAGACAAGGCAGATGTGGTCAGGGACATTGGAGAACAAGTAATGGAGTCAGAAGCGAAACAAGATTATTATTACCTGGAGAGAATAGGCCACTTGGGTGTAACCATGGGATCTGGCCGGCTCACTACACTCAGAGGAAAGGCAAGACAGACATTTAACCAGATTACGACCGATACAATTAGTATTGGAACTCTGCACTGGCTGCTGAAGATGAGGATGGAGCACGCATAGAAATGCCTCGAGTGCTATGATGTCAATTCTTGACTCAACTCAACTTTGATGTTGTTCTTACATGTTTATCTTTAAGGTCTGCCTTATATTCTAAGTCCGTTTCCTCTTTTATTGTACGCTTTTGTTGTATGGTGTGACAAGGCCTTATCTCTAAGTGACCACAACATTTGGTTTACTACACTAGCATTGTTTCTATGCCGACTTATCTCTTATGACCTCCATCCCCATTGAATCTCTTCTGGTCACTCATGTAGGACTTCTCAAGCATCTCATTTCCATGGTTAGTAATTTTCTGGTCTGATTTGTTGTGAGTGGCCACGTCTGGAATTGGTAACATTGGGTGGGAAAGAAGATACTCTGTATGAGATGTTTAGTGTGTACTGATGTGGATTGTCATATGCTGAAAGTGCGCACGTGTTTGTCTCTGTGTGCGTGTGCATGTGTAGTGTGCGCGCGTATGAATGTGTGTGTGTGTTTGGGGGGGGGGGGGTTAACTAACCAAATACTTGGCTTGTTTTATTGCATCTGATGTTAATTTCTTCATCCAATTTTACTACTTCGGTAATTGTTTTTCCGCGATATTTAAACTCAGAAGCCTGCTTAATGCAATTGCACTCTACTGCTACATTCAATCAATTAACCAACGTAATAATTTAACTTGTAAGTGAACAATTTTTTTGTCTTTTCAGGGAAAGAAATATCGTCTGCTAAATTCCGTCGTTTTGGGCACAATTGGACTAGTCCAAAGCACCTCCTATGCAACAGTTCCTGTCCTGGTGATGGCCTTTGGCAACAACTCTGATCCTGCTTCAACAACCGTTGATTCTATATATGGCACCGCTGTCTGTGCTGTCACCTTAGACGAACTAAACAAGTCAGAATTCAACTATGCCCTTTACAGTTGCGCTGATGGTCATTCCAACGTCGTAGCCACACACGCCAGCTGGATTACCGGAACTGCTCAAACCTGTTACAGTGAGCCTAGACAAGTAAGAACATGTGTCTCCGTGTTTGGTCTCACCCTCCTT